TGTTCCTTTTAGTTTACTCAGTGTGTATGTTTGCAATAATGAGGTTATAACTCACCCACAATTGCTGCATTTTCATTGATCGAACAGACTGTCAAAAACCTATTGTGTCATTTTAGCAAGGAATTGCATGAACGTTTCCATCTCGATTAAAGTAGCTGACTGTTCCACAATCAGTCCCACCTACGACGTAACTTATGGGTGTTATTGTATATGGCCAAAAGGCCCTTTCCCAGAAAATCAGAGTCGTCCAATATTTGATCTGCTAGTCCTACGTAGCATTTTCAAAAATAATAAATGTTTTTATTTTTTCACGACCTACCTCTGTTTTCCACAAGCTCCTTATGTTTTGGATGTAACTGTCAGTGATAATCCCCTGGATTCGATCCGTAAACTGCGATCAACTTCCGTAGAAATCCATGGCAGAAGATCATCAGCCGTATGTAGGTTTGGAGATATTCTCTGCCAAGTATCACGGAGACGCAGAAGATAAACTACATAATGATTTCGTTTACTTGGAAGGCATCCGTTGATTTCAAGGGTTTCAGATACAGCGTGTTGAGTACCATCTCTGTCTTTAAATGGATGTGACACTTGCAATGTGTGGCAAGCAATAGAAAAATATCAGAAGTGTTAAATGAGGACAAAGTCAAGAGTCAAATAATTCGTTCCAATGAGAGATCATCCTTTCGAGTCCGGAAAATAGCAGCGTCAGACAGTGTCCCAACATTTCTCAAGATTTGTACTTCAGCAGAAAACATCTCGAGACTTGGGCAAAGTCCGTGCAGATTCTTACCCTGGGTCATTTTTGGCCCTCGGGGAATTCTTTGGAAGTTCCATTGAACAAACAGGAATTGTTTCGTACTCATTTCCAGAAATATTCGCAAAACGTGTCCGTCGCAAATGTGCCCATGGCAACTTAGTTTTCAATCTCGAGAAGCAACTGCCGCACACCGACGTTTTCTCGGAAATGCTCCGGAATATATTGAGGTAAAACGATAAATCCACAGTAGATTGAACCCTTCAATCTTGCGTATTGTTGACAGAAATTAGGAGCATTTTCAGAGGAAACTAAGCAATGGAATGCTGGTTCAGGTTGCACAGCACAGCGGATTGTGGCAAAGATGTATGAAACTTGACAGTCCACTTTTTACTTGTGCATCGGAATACCCTATAGCCTAGCTTCGTTTTACATTATCTCGATGGAAGATTGATTTTTATAACGATTTAAAATGCAGTCCCCTGGACGTTTGAGTATCATTCTGCTTTCTGACTCGCTGGTCAGCGACAAAACTAAGAAAGGGAGGAAACAATGGTTCGACTGAAGCGAAAAGAAGCGAAAGCGAAGAAAAAGTAATGGTGGCAATGACGAACATGATAAGCTTAGGAAATAACCATTTTTCTAGGAAATAGCCTACCCTGAAAGTGCGGGAAAATAAGTCAAAGCTCACCAAGCCGCGGTGTCTCATGACAGTAGCACCGTAGATCGTTCATAATTCTGCTTAGGACTTATTAGCCTGAAACACTCTCAGAATATATGGCAGAAACACCAGAACAACAAAAAAGCTTCTACAACAAAATACCTTTTTATGCACATTTTTGTCACCCACTCACAGACTTGTTTCATTTAAAATCGACCCTTATCAATTTCGTATATCTTACTTTTTACGCACAATGGTAGCATGATAATTCAGGATATCAAAATTCATGCATAAATATGGAAAGCATAAAGTGTACTATTACATGAGACTTTATGTCTTTCGCGCAACAGGAAGCATGAAGATATTCAAAATACCTGCCCTTTGTACTGGTTAACACCGTATGACGATGTGAACTGTAGTTTATGGTGATATGCATGCAGGTCATAAAGAATTATTGTTTCAAGTTGCCAGTGAGCATTGCAATTGAAAGACCTTTTAAAACCTTAATTTTAAAATTTTTTTTACACAGTAGTTAGGAAAGATGTAGATAGGCTTTAAATAATCACAGAAAAAGAAGAAAACTGTTAAAAGCCTTGAAAATATTTAATATGGAAGCTGTCTGAACCCACAATGGCGTTTTCTCTGTGCTTTGTCGATTACTGTTTATTCGACTGCAAGCTCTACTTACTGCTTTGGACGTAGAGGATTATCATCAGGATGGCAATGGCCAGCAAGGCTACTATCAGCAAGAGCTTTTCGCCGAATTTCAGCGCTTGGTCGAGACGGCTGGAAGTCGAGCTCTCGAGGCTCAAGTCGAGTCCCGATTTCTGCTCACTTGGAGGCGCGGACGAAGGAACGACAGGACGCGATTGAGAAGGAGCGACGGGTTCTGTGCTCGTGTCCATCAGCGCCAGGGGTGAACCCTGACCGTTGGTCGGCGGCGACAGGTAGACTTTGGCGTTGATTTGGATCGGGTTCGCCGACTGCGCAGTCTGAAACGTGGTCAGTGCTGAGGAGAACGTTTCCGAGGTTGGTTTCTTGACATACACACGCGGAATGGAGATCGCTGGCGGAGGCGAGTAGAGATTCTCGTTGCTCATGATGTCGTCGAGCTGGCTAACTGAAATGCCATCGATGGCCAGCTTAGCGATCTAGGCGTTCGACGATTCGATTACGCAGGCTTTTCGTTATCGCTTGGGATATACGTTATCACTTGGGATATTTTCTAAACTATCCATAGTAGAAATAACCACCTTATCAGCTGGATGGGCGCCGGCTATTAACTATCAGTCATTCTCTGTCCACGCTCTAAAGCTATGACAAAATGAAGAAGTCGAATATTCAGGCACTAGGGCGACAGAAAGCATTCATTCTTCAGGCGTTTCCTACTTCAGCATGATCTCGAAACGGTCTTTCACTTGTTGGCCACAATTCACCTCGTAAGTCTGCTCCATTACCGCCTTAGACCATGATCAATGTCGGTAATAATACTGAAAATGAAGGAAGGGGATGTTTATAAGCCTGAGATTATCGGTTCACCAGTACTTCATTTTTGACGCCCTACTTTCATGAAGTTATCTGTAGGCCGTTAATCTCCATTTTCATGCGATGGGCATCGAGTATCCTATTTTTAATTATTAGAGCCGACAGCAATTGTGTGGCAGGCATAGTCACCTGGTGCCTGCAAACTAAATGGTACTCATCTGTAGTCCTCAGAAAAAGAAAAACGAATAACCCCCACTGAGACTCAAACGTAAGACTTCTCAGTTCTGAGTTAGAAGTTCTGACGACTGAACATCTTCGGTCTGGAGTAACACGTGGTCAATTCTTTGCTCGAGGAAATTCGCTGATAAGACGACGATTGGATGTTCGCCGGAACTCGGCATCCACGAATCTTGAAGCCGACTTAATAGGCAATGTGGCACCACACCAGTTACATCGGAGGATAGGCAGAATTCGACTCCTTCGTGCCTCTAGGAAATCATTTAATGCGGCCAATGCTCCATTGCAGAAGACATCTTACGTTTATAGGTTATGATCAACTGCAAAATTATTGCCATGATGCATTGAGTCATAATTTATTTAGAAGAGGACGGCCAGAAGTTTCTTCATTCCCTTTCTCATCTTCCAAAACAGTGCCCAGTAGTTATTTTCGTAGGTACAGTTCACACGGTACTCAGTCATCCTTGCCTTTTGCTTTGGTAAAATTTCTTGACTGTCGGGGGAGCTTCGAAACACCGTTGCCTGGAATCCAATCAGTAATGGTACAGTTCATTAACTTAGATTTCAGTGAATCTTATGAACTGTCTAACTGCTGTAGTCACGTGTCGTAAAATTTAATGACAATAAAGCGTTGACTTCTGTATTGTTCGGTGTTCTCAACCCTGAATCGATAAAGCGCATGTAATTTCAGTAGCTGGCTGAGAATCAGAAACGTTCTATTGCATTCAGACGTGAACCGTGTACTCCAGCTGACATTTTCCGAACTTGCCCCTTTATAAAATTTCAAATATCACTGAACCCGCATCCAATTCAGGCCCCAAAAACCGGTGGTACGAAAGTCTGCTTTTTATGAAAGGGAGATGACTGTATTACACCTGACCTGCCGCAAAGCGGGCTTACCTCCTTATCATTCAGTGTTGTTGATGGTGGCGCTTCGATCGAGCTACTGTACTAACCTTTTTGAACAATAAATAAAAATTTTCTCTACATGTGGTAAAATTCACCATGATTTTTAACGGTGCTACAATAAACAGCATTTTGATTTTCAT